TTCTGTCATTGAATTAATATTACAATAAGGGAAACGATAATTGTAGAAATGAGAGGAACTGTTATACAAGCTGGTTAGTTAATTTTGTTGAAATCCTTTCCTTTCGTTGAAATTCCATTCCATGGATTCTTTTTGTTGAAATCTTACAGGATTTAAAATGTTGATCTTGTGAGTAGCAAATCTAATATAATTGAAAGTAGTAAATAAGTAATAATAGAGGTCTGAAAACAACAACTTCATATTCCTAATCGATGAGTATCAGATGCATATTTTATACTCGACATTTGAGTGCAAAAAAGAGCAGAAATAGGTATATGTTACAGTAATCGAAATAACTAATATATTAATTGCAATAATTACTAGTAAAGTACGCAGAGAATTTTATAGAACTTTTAGGACTTTATGCTTTGTTGGCAGTAAAATAAGTATGAGAAGTAATTTATACACATTGCCAAATGAATTGGTCAATTATAGATGTTAATGGATTTAAAAGAAAGAGTTGATAAACTTAACGATATATGTATGGATATTAATAATCAAGTAGATGATATGATAGTAACGTTAAATGCGTATAATTGTGATAAAAATGATACGCTATATGTGATTACCATTCGTTCGGTTAATTTTATCATGCACTTTTTTCAACAAATATATGCTATCGTTATTTCAATTACAAAGGTATATTTATCAAAAGTTTCATGCAATTGATTTTGTTTGCATTTATTTAAACAAGACTATTTATCAAGGCTTTATTATTCAATAATTTATTGACTTAATTATCACCTGAAATTCCCAGTTATCGCAAAAATCATCAGTTTTACCATTCTTAATTAATTGCAATGTTTTTTATCTACAAATATTTATTTTATCTGTCATTTCATTCTTCAAACTTCGTTATCTTCATACGCAACACAAAAAAAAATAGTTCTAATTTTTAAAATTGACCAGTTTATTAATATTGTTCATGATGGACAATATTTGTGATCGGTGAATAACGCACTTCAGGAAATCAAAATAAAGCTTTTCCAATTAAGGAGAAATATTTAGGTTAGCATTTTGCAATAAAATTTATTGTTTTCGTAAACATTTGATAAGTTTATGTATTTCGTTCTACAAAATTTCATCGCCATTCATCCAAAAACATTGATATAATGTGAGGAAAATTCAGAACTTTCAAAATTTTTTAGAAATTACGCAAAAATCTTTTAGCATTTTACAAAACCATTATTAGCAATAAATTCAGGATCATCAAATACTGCCAGTAAAGGAGAGCAAATCGATATATTTCTGTCAACATCCTTGTAATTTTAAGCAATTAATTAGCGGACATGAATTGTTAAAAGAAGAAAAAGTAATATTAATTTACAATTTTTACTTCGTTCTCCAATGAGTAATGTTGAAATTGTTTGAAAAATAATATTAAGCGGAAAGCTAGTAATTACTGCTACATCTGATAAAAGAATACCAATCAGATAAAGTTATTTATCCTTTTAGAAACTGGTTGACACTTATGCACAAACGGTTAACGTGTAATGCAACATAGGGTATTTTTGAAAGCAAAAATTGAATTAAATGGTATAAAGAAATACTTTCGAAAAGGTATAAAGTAATACTATTGTGTAAGCATTAAAGATAATTGACACAAATTATTTACTTTTATATTCATCACTTTGTTTATGATCAAAGAGAATTCTCAAAGCATGTTTCCAACCAAAGGTCATCTCCACTAAATTAACTTGAAATAACATTCATTGAACTTTAGTATATATTAATCAATATATTAATATATATTAATCAAATATATATTAATCAATATATTAATATATATTAATCAATATATTAATATATATTAATCAATAACATATATTAATCAACGAATGAAACAAAAAACATCAAAGAAATGGAGAAATAAAAGAAAGAGTGAATTTGAACACTTTTCACAAAGAAGAGATTATCATCT